CACCAAGGTCCAGATATGTGACTTCTCCTACACTTTTGTTGGAGATTCCACTTTTCTCACTTTTTGCCAGTGTCCCTGGGAGCATCAGGCAGCTACTGTTCTCACCCACAAGGACAATGTGCACGGCATGTTGGCACCACAGATAAAGCTACCCTCATGAAATTAGTGTTAAGAGCTTGAAATTGAAGAGCACCTATAGAGTGTAATGCAACAGTGCAAAATAAGACTTCAGACAGATAAATTCTGATGAAATGTGCAATATAAAATTAACATATTGCTACCTCCAACTACCCATCTTTCATAGTCTGCTGCACCAGAATTAGGAGGACGGTGTCTACCTCGGGCCTCAGCAATCCCTCTCCTGTGCCACAGCAGCAGCTCAAAGCAACAGTGGAAGAGAGCTGATACTGTGTAAGACATTAAGCAAGAAAAAAAATCCCAGTCAGAATCTCTGTCCTTCTACAGTCAACAAGTTATCTAGTCTCTAAAAAATGGCAAGGTATTGAGTGAGAAGAGCAAGCAATCTTTACTCAGCGCATTCTTTGCTTTCCTTTTCCACATTAGGACTGTGCCAGAGCGAAACTTTGTGAGAGCCCACCTTTGGAACAGTGTTCCACTGGGCACCCCCATGTCAGCTGCCAGAGGCCTGGATAAAGGATAGAGAAATGTAACTGGAGGCAGATGCTGGCAGATGATCCTGTCAATTGTAACGAGGATATAAAGGGAACTGGAGTGCCTCTTTAGAACAAAAAAAAAGTCCTGTAAGCTTAGGGAAGAAAGTAAGGTCTGCTGGGCTGTGATGCAGAAAGCCATTAAAGCTCATCTGAATTTTAACTATGTGCCTAACTCTTTGCTCTTGCTTAAATCCCATTGAAATCTGTAGGTTTTAGCATGTGCATACACGCCTTGCTGAATCAGCACTGTAGCTTGTTATCTGAATTGCTGCCCTATTAAACATAAATTGCAAAAGATACGCTCCATAAACTTTATTGTCATTACACTGCACTTTCATTTAACATTAAACTGAAGAGCCTGCCTGCCTCAGCTAGAGGCTGAGGTGGAACATAAGCTTTTCTGGCAAACTGAACGTTGGGCAACACCCTGGTTATGGCAGCTACCTTCACATCGCAAAAAGGGATCTGGCATCTAGACTCTCGTGTAAGATTTATGAACCTGTAATTGCTAAACAAGAATATGCTTTATAGCTGAAAACTTAATTGTGCTCTGTCTGAGTAAGTTCACTCCCTATATTAGCAGCCCTTAAGCATATTGTGACCCTCTCAGCTACAGCATTTCTGTCGCAGAGATGGCTTGTGGAAAAGTACAGAATTAATGTGGGTTTTCTATCATACATTGTGCTGTCCATTATGCTAATATTAGGATATATACTTCAGCTATATAGGATAAAATATGTTATGGTCTACTTTCAAATGATTCTTTCACTCATTTGGCCAACAGTATTTAGTTATACTTTTTAAAAATTATTGATTACTTAGATATTCAGTAAAAAACTTCTGAAATGACTTGTAGTTCTGTGTAGTGTCTTTTAAGAACAATTTTAAGTAGTATGCTCTCTGTCTGGGTCTCATGTACCGCACAGAACTCTGCTCATCTTTGTCCCAAACACCAGTGACAGAAAAAGGTGTGTGAACGTGATGTTATTTCTTGCAGGGAAGGTAATTTACGTTGGGAATATGTGGAAGGCCATTTCTGAACAAGCAAGTTATCAAATGTGAACTATTCAGTTTTGCTGTTTGTGCTTTTCCTTGTCATAGCATGCGAGTTCACAGCAACCTGGGACACAGTCCGTTGTTCCCACTTAAACAACGCCAGCATTAAAGCTGTATATCACAACAGACACTGCGCTGGGGACAGCTACAAAAAAATGCATTCCCTTGTTGACCAGCAGTAGCGTGGTTCAGCAAAGGTACTGGCGACCAGGACAAAGTTCTATATGCAAGGAGGTGCTGGAAAGCTATATATTGCTTGAAAAACAGGAGGACGTTAATTCAAAATCACCCATAGCAATGCAAAATTGATTCTAGTACATTTCATCACAAAATTAGCCATATTATTTCTTCCGCCTGGTCTCATGTTCCAGACTAGCTTCTGTTGGTGTTCAGTCTGGCAAGAGTCTCTGGCAGTGGAGAATCTGCTAGAGAGACCAAAAAAAGGCCAATGTGATCTCAGAGTATGTGATGAGCGCTGTGTGAAAATAACTATTCCGTGTATTTGTCATCTGCTTCTGCAAAAAAAAGAGTGTCTGTATGAGACACGAATGCGCAGATGTCTAATTGAAACGGTCGGTTTTCACATTCACCAGTTCCCCGACATGTCTGTACATACATTTGTGCTGTCCCACTGCATAGGTGGCTGGGGATTTAAATAAGCAGCTGGAGGCGAGGGATGCTTTCTGTAAGTTTTGTCGGTGTCAGAACGTAGCCTCAGAGAGCGACCCCAGCAGTAAAGTATCCTTCCCTTCCTTTCTGTTGAACACTACATAAGGAGTTGCCACTGTCAGGTGTAATTTGCCTCATCTGTAATTCACAATTTTGTATGAGTGTAGGTGAATCTAATCTTAATTAGGAATCCTTTTCAAAGCTTTATACCAATTCTAGATAAGTTGCCAGGATCTCAAGTACAGGATTTATAACCTTTCCTGATAGAAAATATGAAATGAGCTTTTAGAAATTAGTGGCATTTGAGTTCTTTTGTCTTGATTTACATGTCTTAGAGGTGATATTTTCAAGGTCTTCTCTATAACCAGATGGATTAAAAACCTGCTTTAAACAAGACACCCTTCAGATTTTGTCACGAAGATATGATCTCAAGGGCTGCAAGAGACCCACCCGCAGAAACACAATGAACCTCGTTAAGACCAAGACCGGGAAAGTTCGGCTTTGCGCGTTTTGGCAAGCTTCCAACAGCACAGGGCGAACCTGATTCTGGAGAAGCGCAGATGGGCGCACAGCGGGCTCTCCCTCCCCTGCGCTGCCTGTCGGAGACCTGGGGAGACCTCCAGGCCCCCCCCCCCCCATTTACTGAGAACAGCTCCCTGCCCTGTGCCTTGGGGGCGACGAGCCGAAGTGTCAAACGAGAGGAGGAGGAAAGGGAGTTAGGATCTTCTCACCTGCGCGTAAGCAGGCACCCCAAAGCCCCGTGGGGATAAAAGCCAGCCCAAACAGAGACACAGCCTGTGCACGTGCTTCGCCCATCTGCCCGAGAGGGACTCCTCTCTCGCTGAAACAGAATCACTGCCCTCCGGGGAAGGACAGTGGAGCTCTGAAAGGCTCCTTGCGAGCTGCATGTGCCCAGAAGGTGTGGACACGGCAAGTCTCTTTCCCCAAATCCTTGCAAATCGAACCTTTACAGTGGAAATGTTTTATTTTTCAGTCACCTAGAAACTACTGTCTGGGGATCACAAAGCTCTGTATTAGACTGTAATTAGATATATTTCACAACATCCCCATGAGGGAAATCACTAATTACAGCAGTTTGTTGAAATTAAAGTAAGTATAATAATGGTTGGTAGTGACTATGATAATATTGCAATCTTGTATTACTACACTTCGGGCTATGATTGTATCAAATCTCAGAAGCCAAGAGGGTTGGGTCTGGTTGGCATATGAATAGAGAATGAAGAATTGAAGCAGGCATTTGCAATTTCTTAAGAAGTCATGTGCTCACAAATCACAAGTCATATTAATTTGGTCTGGAATAAATATTCTGGTGCTTTGGTGTCAGGAAACACCCTGGCGCTTGAGAGGTTATGTCGTGACAGAGTGGTAAAACCTGTGGCCTGTCCTGATCAGCTGTAGCCATATAAAAACCCTGTGTTTCTATGGGACTGCTAATTTTGCAAGGCAAGTATATTGGTCATGGCAGCATGGGAAAATTCCAACTCAGAAACTTGCATTTATCTGGCAACTGCTCATTAGAAATGTAAAAGTTACTTTCTTCTCTTGCATTAAAATACCTTTGTGAAGCATTACTGACATCGGTGATGAGGTATTTCCATTGTATAGCTGGCTGCACCTCAGTAGGGGAAGAAGACTCTTTACACACACGGCCTGCAAAATCCTCTGTTGTGACATAATCCACTGATATAAGGTAACAATGTTCTAGTAATGTAGTTTTAGGTTTTGCACAGATTAATTAAATGCTACTTTAGCTTTTAAGAAAAAGGTACCAAATGTTATTTTTATTCCTGCTATCAAAAACAATCTTTTTTTTTTTTTTTCTTTTTTAATGGATGTACAGAAAGAGGAACCTGGTTGCCAAAAGACTGCAGAACTTTGCTAATCTGTATAAATTACACAGTGGTCTGGGCGGACTGTTAGACTTCAAGAGAGTGAGCTAGAAGAGGTGAGGGTGTATCAGACTGCCTGCAGTTGCAAACTGTTTCCAACTGGTCTAGCTGGACACAGCGTGGAAAGAGCTGGTACGCAGAGGCCTTGGTGAGAGGCCAGGATCCAGCCAGCCAGTGCCCAAGAAACCCAGATGAACGGCTCGTAGAGTAAATCGGCGTTGTGGCCGAGATGTCAAACTGCACTTTGTGCTGTCGTTGGTAGCGCTGGCTGAGCTGTTGACTTGAACTGCAGCATCAAACGCTCGGAGCAGGCTTCAGACCTGCCCAAGCATGAGGTTTCGCCGTACAGCTGATGCCAAAAAGAGTGTCAGTTACCCCCTGCCTTAGCAACCATTTCTGGTCAATTGGTTTTGCTTTCTCCTTTTTGCTGTCCCCGGGGCCCTGGGCCAGGCAAGCCCCTGAGACTGCTCAACTGGCAGAGCACTTCTCTGCTACTTTTTGGGGCTTCTCCTCTCTTCTTCTTCGTTCTCTACATCTGGAATGCCATCCTTTATTTTACATAAAATGGCTCTAAAGTTTTCTAAGGGGGGTATGTAGTGGGTGCGGGTGCCCAGGCGCTGGCAGGGGGGCTGCAGGGTGTCCTGGGTTGAGTGAGTGGTGGAGTTTTTTTGGTGGCAGGGGAGGGGGCTATCGGGGCGGCCCCCTGTGAGAAGCTTCTCGAAGCTCCCCCAGCTCCAAGCCAGCTCCACCTCTGTTTGGGGACAGCCACTTCCAGACAGCTCCCACAGACCCACCACGGGGCACGGCTGAGCCCCTCAGCGACACCGCTGGCACCCCCAGGAAACTGTATTTCAGGAAGGGCAAAACCACTGCGTAGCCGTGCAAGGGACAGGAGCGAGGAGAAGTGAGAAACAGCAGCGTGAACACTGAGGGCAGAGAAGAAGGAGGGGATGGAGGTGCTGCAGGGGCTGGAGCAGAAGATGTCCTTGCTCATGGAGAGCACCAGAGTGGAGCAGGTGTCTGTTGGAGAATGGCTCAGAGACAAGGGCCCTGTGCCTTTAGCCAGTAGATTGTAAGCCTGCGTGCCTAAGTTGTGCCTTGTCACGTACTAAGAAAATCTTTGAACGAACGTTGGCGCAGGCTCTGCTCATACAAAAAGAAAAAGGGGGAATTGTTGGAGAATGGCTCAGAGACAAGGGTCCTGAGCCCACCGAGCAATTGTACGATCAGAGCCTGCTCTGGCTGCTGATGCTGGGCCTCACTAGGGTTTGCCTGCAGCTGCTGATACATGAAGAATGTCAAGGACACTTCAGCCCCGTGTACCGTGGTGTGTCGAAAACAGGTTAAGGGGAATTAGGAATAGTGGTCTGAGAAACCCAGTGTTATGGTAACGGTGGTCTGAGAAACATTGTGTTATGGTACTGTCGTGTATCGAAAACAAGTCAAGAGGAATTAGAAATAGTAGCATGAGAAACTTAGTGTTATGAGAAGCTTGTGCTGTAAACTAACTGCAAGTAGGTGGACCGTGTGAATACGATCCTTAGAGCTTAAGCCAATCAGCTAGTGACTAGTAGGCATAATAATTATCATTGTCTGTATAAATATATGTACCCTGGACCAATAAAGACACACGTGGATTGATGCTCTATCACCCACACTGAACCCGTCTCGGCGTGTCGTTCGTCCGCGGCTCCGCAGGTGTCCACACTGCAGCCCCACAACGGAGGGAGGTGGATGTTTTCTGGAGGAACTGCGGCCCATGGAGAGCCCATGCCGGAGCAGTTCTTGAAGGATCGTGGAAGGACCCACCCTGGAGCAAAGCGTGAGGAGGAAGGAGCAGCAAAGAGGAGCTGTTAGGGGCTGACTGCGGCCTCCATTCCCCAACTCCTCTGCAGCGCTTGGGGGGTGGTGGTGGGGAGGTAGAGGAGCTGGAAATAAGAGGGGTGCAGTTGATCCAGGGTGAAGTTGGGGAGAAAGGTGTCGTTTTCATTTACTTTTTGCTTCTCACCATCCAACTCTCTTTTTAACTGGAAAAAAAAAATAAATTTCATTTTTCCCTGTCACATACTTACTCCTCCTGCCTGGCAGTTTGGGTGGTGGTTGGTTTTTTTTTTTTTTTTTTTGTTTAGGTTGGGTTTTGGGGGGTGTTTGGGATGTGTTGGTTTGGGGTGGGTTGGTTGGTTTGTTGGTTTTAAAGCTAGATGAACTGGAACTAGCCTACCGGTCCCTGAAGTGACAGATGAAGACAGATCCTTCCCAGTGCTGTTTCCTGAAGGCAGTCGTGAAGTCCCTCAAGCTTCTCTGTCTTTTCTCCCCGTCCTCCACTGAGGAGGGTCAGCGGGCGAGCGGCTGGGCGTGCAGCTGGCCAACGCTACCCAAACCGGGTAACAAAGCGCCACAGACGATTCCGAAGTCTTTGCCCTCCACCCCTAAGAATCGAATCCGTAAAATCTCAAGGAAAACGTCCTTGAAAATGGTTGGACGGTCTGCTAAAAAACTGTGATTTTTTTTTTTTTGTTGTTGTTCTTTTCTTTTTCCCCCCCCTCTGGGGAGGAAAACCAAACCAAACCCAAGCAACAAGGGTTGGGTGTACGGGCTCCGGCCGGGGACCGGGGGGGGGGTGTGTGTTTCCCGCCTCCCCGTTCCGCCTCACGGGGCCGCCCCGGTGGCGGTTGGGGCGGGGCGGGGCGGGGCGCGGTCGCTACGGGAGACGGGGCGGGGGGAACCGGAAGCGGCGCGGCGCTGTGGTGGCGCGCGCTCCCGGCCTCTCCCGGCGGCGCCATGGGCTGCTGCTTCTCCCGCCGGAGGAAGCCGGGTCAGGGCGGGCAGCAACAACAACAGCAACAACAGCAACAACAACAACAACAACAACAACAACAACAACAAGCGGCGGCGGGAGGATCCGGCCCGGAGGCGGCGGCCGGCGAGGAGAAGGCGCCGCAGTACAGTTGGGACCAGCGAGCCAAGGTAGCGCCCGGGGTATCGGCCGGCTGTCGCGGGTTATCGGCCGGCTGTCGCGGGGTATCGGCCGGCTGTCGCGGCGGGCAGCGCCTCGGCCGCTTCTGCCGCCCGGGGTTTGCGGGGCTGTAGCCGTGGCGGGGACCCTGCGCCGGGCGGGCAGAGGCTGCTCGGGGCGGGGGGTGTGGGGGGGCGGTGTATGTGGCGGGGCGGCTCACTTCCTCCGGTACCGCCGTGGTCCGCGCAGTTAAGTGCGTTTATTAACCAAAAAAAAAAAACCCAAAACCAAAAAAAAACCCCACAGACTATTTATCTTAAGGATTTTACCGGCCAGTCGCGAATTGTGCAAGAGGAGAGAGGGCGGCGCACCGGATCCTGCGGGCACCGGGGCCCGGCCCGGCCTGGGGGGGCCCGGCCCGGCCTGGGGGGGCCCGACCCAGCCTGGGGGGGGCCCGGCCCGGCCTGGGGGGGCTCGGCCCGGCCTGGGGGGGGCCCGGCCCGGCCTGGGGGGGCTCGGCGGGGCCTGGGGGGGCTCGGCGGGGCCGGCAGCTCGTGCTTGGCGCTTCAGGGGGAGGCGTGCAACTTGCGTCCTCCCTGTCACATACTTACTCCTCCTGCCTGGCAGTTTGGGTGGTGGTTGTTTTTTTTTTTTTGTTTTTTTTTTTTTTTTTTTTTTTTTTTTTTTTTTGTTTTGGGGGGTGTTTGGGATGTGTTTGGTTTGGGGTGGGTTGGTTGGTTTGTTGGTTTTAAAGCTAGATGAACTGGAACTAGCCTACCGGTCCCTGAAGTGACAGATGAAGACAGATCCTTCCCAGTGCTGTTTCCTGAAGGCAGTCGTGAAGTCCCAAGCGGGAAGGCACTTGAGTGCTGGATAATTGTATTTCTTCCCACACTCATTCCAAGTTTCACTTCCTAAATATATCATGACATCGTAGCCCTGATAGGTCTCCCCTCCTCTTCAGCTGCCTTTGGGTGGGGAAAGGAAAAAATGGGGCAGGCCATAAACTTAATTGATGCGGTTTTAACAGACGAAATCCCCAAACCTTTAGGCCATATGTTGCGAGTGTAGAAAAGAAAATGTGTGAACTTATTTGAATGTTTAGCATGTTTGTTTTTCAGACTTGGCCAGCTGCTCTAGGGTGTCCCTTAAGTCTTCCAAGCAGATTAAGACAAGCTTAGATGGAGATGAGCTAGAGAGCCTGCGCGTGGCCCAGAGGAATCAGTTCCTTGAGGATAAAGGCGGTTGATCTGTGTTGGGCTTGTTGCTTTGACTTGCTAGTGGATATTTGCGGTGCGGTGTTGGAGAGAGAAGAGGAGGGTGGCAGCCTGTTAGTTGTACGGAGACTGTTTGCACAGGGAGAGGGCTCTACCGAAACCATATCATAGAGTAGCAGGAGAAATCTTAGCTCTGTGCGGAAGTAAATTACTAAATGAGCATCTGAAATCATATTCTTTAACTTTAGAGCCAGTTCATCAGCTGCAGCTCAACTGATACGAGGTTTTTTTACTCAGTCTGCTTATGTGGCTCTAACTTATAAAACTAAATGAAGGAAAGTCAGGACGTAAAAACGAATCGGAGAACAGCCAGCCTTGTTGCTAAGGAGATGACTGTTGTTAACATGCTGGAAGTAGGCTCAAGCTGACAGATGAGTCTATCGCAGCACCAACAATCTATTTCTGTGGAGGAAAAAAAAAAAAAAGGCGTGTAAGGTATTGCATGCACAACTTCCTCCTTTTTCTATAAAAGACTTAAAAACCAGAAGAATCAGTGAGGTTGGGCTGTGCTACTGAACTGTGGAAGCCAGCAAATTAGCTGCTTAATTTTGTACTGTACAGTTCCAGAACAGCTATTTAGTATTTAAGCCCATTTCCTTGCTCTTTCATTGGGCTTTTTGGTATATGCTTAGTACGTTAAATCAGGAAAGCAGTACTGAGACACTTGGCCTTACATAAAGGAATACTGAGCACTTAGTGCACTAAACTTGTTGATCCCGGTTTGTGTTGAGTGATACTAAGTGTTGATGTAGTAGCTTCAAGTTTTGTCTCTGATACATTATCCTGTTGTCTGTTGCTTTCTCATTTCTGACGCGTCACATAAATTATACTTACTCATTTCACAGTTTGTGTTTGTATGCAAAGTTCGGTTGAAGTCAGTCAGAAAACCAGTGGCATTAAGACTCGGTTTTGTTCATCAAGTGCATTGAATTGTATTCTGAACCCAGAAAACATCAACTTTGTCAGCAGATGTGCTAGTGGTCTTTTGATGTTTTTCCTGTTACTTTTAATAATGTGTTGATGCATCGTTAGGGCTGAGGCCATGTTCCTAATTTTAGGCTCTCTTACTCAGTGATGCAGTTCTGGTTATATAGTGCAGTTCTGCAAGCAGGTTTGGCAGTTGTCTGCTGTTCTTATAAGCTATCCTGTGTGTTTCCTCACAGGTCGGTAAGTCTTGCTGCTCGGACACTCCAGCTGTCTTCCTGTAAAGCAATGCCACGCTGGCACTCGTGGTAGGCAGAGGAATGTAGGGACACTCGTGTGCATGCTTGTCTGATTAGGGATGTGAAGAGAGGAGACTGCTAGCTGACAGCTCTGCTAGAAGATGCTCTGAACCTGAAGAGTTCCTCCAGTGAAACTATTTCTTCTGCTTCTGAAGAACAGCATCGCTAGTGTAGTCTAGTTTAATTATATTCTGGTGGCAAAAGATGATTAGTAGTGGTACTGTCGGCTAGAGTTGACCTAGCCCAAGAGTAGTATGATGATATCCTAGTGACAATGTAACACTTGTATTATAGTCCCAAAAATGGACCATGTAGTAGAAGACTCTAAATACAAAGTGTTATAAGATGCTGATGGTTGAATTGAAATTAAGGAAAGTATATGAATTTGAGGGGCCTGCTCAGATTTCTGCGTGACCTCATTGAAGTGAGGACAGAAGCCTGTGTTTTTAAAGTATATAAAAATTATTCAAATTTGGATTGCGTCTGAAGTCTTCTGGGATCTATTGTAATGCTTGCTGACCTTTGGGTTCGGAGAGCTGTGTGAAGGTTACTTGTGGTGCAGTAGAAGAATCAAAGGATCAGCTTATCTTGAAAACAGAAGGGAAAATGATGAGTATTCTGTTTTTTGCTGCTCTGGGATTCTTAGTCCAGGAGAATAAGAGCAGCGCTGTTTATTACAGAGTCTGTTATTGCACTTCATCCCGGGGGCTCGTTACGTGCTGATGTCGCTGGGCTGTCATGAGAGTCCCCTTCTGAGCAAGTGTAGGAGAGGAACCCGGTGGTGCTCAGCCCTCCTCAGCCTTCTTCAGATGGGTTTTCACCTGGAATGTAAGGTGGTATTTCTGCTCTTGGTCTCTCTTTTCCTTTCCTACCTTACTATCTTCTGCATGACTGAGGTTGTTTACGTGCATGACGGGGGTGGTAACTATAGCAGTAACTGAATATGGGTACATATAGACAGGAACTGGGGTTTTGTGATGGCAGATATGCCCACATACTGTGACTTTCTCTGCAAGAGAAGAAACACAAGATGCTGCATTGTCTTTTTTTGCTGTTGTCTTATGTTTGAAGAAGTAGGATTAGATTAATTACGATCACAGTAGCGCTTAACGCTTAGGGGGACTTCCCTTCCCAGATGATTTTTCCATTTAGAAGGAACAAGCAAGGTTTTGTTCTGTGTCAGCTGACTTTCAACTTAACTGCTTTAGTTGATAGGAAACATGCAGCTATATCAGGCTGTGATGGCTGTATTCAAACAGTTTAAAAAAACCTCAGAGGCTTAAATTTTTACGTAAATCATAGGTAGTCTTGTTAGTTACCTTACATTTGTGGATTTTGCTAGAATGGTCTGAGATAAGGTGGGCATCATGGACTATCTAGATCTCATTTAGGTAGCCATTTTATATTTTATTTTGCAATATAAACAAGCACACTTTTTCTCAAAGTAAACAATGAAATATTTTGTCTTTAAATCCAGTGCATTTCTCTTAAACTTCCAAGTGCACCAGAAGAACTACTGCTGTATTTTTCAAAATGTAGTCTATCAACTGAGTAACAGTCAGCAGGTTCATATTAAACAGTATTTCCAGTGAAGTCAGATATAGGCATGTAGTAGCTTCCTTTCTTCTTCCTCGTCTTCTGTCTGCAGTATTTGGCAATGGCTTTTTTGGGGGTTTGAGCCCAGAGGGCAACTGAGCACCCCAGCTGTTCACTTATCCCTTCCCCTCTCAGGAATGGGAAAGAGAGAAATGAAGCAAAATGGCTCAGGAATCCAGATATGGACAGGGAGGGGTGGCTCACCCATTACTGTCACAGGCAAAGGACATACTCGTTAAGGGAAGAAAAAGAACCATCACTTCAATTAAAATGCTAACAAAACCAACACGTAACAGGCAAGGTGGGACAGGGAGAAGTACCACCACATCTAAAAACACCTCCCCCCACCCCTCCCTTCTTCCCTGGGCTCAGCTCTGCTCCCCATCTCTCTCCCTCCTCCTGCAGCAGGGGATGGGGGTTACAGTCAGCCCAAGGCTCCTTCCTTCTCCGGATGGGGGATTAACGCTGCACATCCCTCCCCTGCTCCGCGGGGCTCCCCCCCCACTGCAGACAGTCCTCCACGAACCTTCTCCTCAGTGAGTCCCTCCCCACGGGCCGCAGCCGTTCCCGTGCTGCTCCGCCGTGGGTCCCCCCCGCGTGTTCCAGCCCTCCCAGCGCCGAACCACAACAGTGGGGGCTGCTTCTTCCCTCAGAGTCCCGGCCTCTTTTACGTGCAGACGCCTGGCCTGGGCTCCTCCTCGGGCTTCAGCAGGTCGGCCTCTGCTCCACCGTAGACCTCCATGGGTGGCGGGGTGGGCGGCCCTGCTGTCTCACCACGGGATACAGGGGTCTCTGCTCCAGCACACCTCCCCTCCTCCTGCTTCCTCCTTCCTCCCACTGACCCCCATGTTTGTCCTTCTCCCAACTCCTCCTCACAAGTCCCAACCCCCTCTCGGGTTCCTCCTCTTAAATAGGTTCTCACAGAGGTGCAGCCATCATCGCTGATTGACTCGGCTCTGGCCACAGGTGGGTCTGACTTGGAGCTGAGGGAGCTTCGAGAAGCTTCTCACAGGGGCCACCGCTGTAGCCCCCTGCCCCTCTATCAAAAGCCCCACTACAGAAACCCAGCACAGGCTTCCTGCTCAGAAAAGTATGAGAATGACCATTTTATGCTATTATGGGTACTCTGGAAGAGGGCAAAGAATACAAATAATAAAATAAAATGTGCATTCAAACTGTTGTATTGGCCATATTTAAAGTCTAGGTGCACAGGCGCTCCAAGATGAAAAACTGTGCTAGTGAGTGGAACCTGCACATACTGCCTTTCTTTCCACCTCTTCTTGTTGCCTAAGAATCTAGAAATCTGCCAGAGGTGAGTAACTTCAACACAGTGTTTCCAGAGGATGTTGCAACGCAGTACTTCAGGGCACCAAACCCATGCAAGTATGAATATGCAGAAGTGTCTTGGCCTGGGAATGCACTGTTCTTGCTTATTTCCTTTCTGTTAATTCCTCTACTGACAAAAATAGCATGTTAAGCCTCTTAGGTTTGTGTGCCTACCCTATAGCTGCAGCTTTTAATGTCACTGGGTCAGCAACCAACTCTTGTATGTCATCAACGGTATATAAGTCCATAGCTGAGCTGCCATCTGTTGTGATTTAGAGAGGTAGGGAATGACTTTTTGAGAAGGATATTTAAAAGAGAAGACCTCAGTGTAAGTGGTTTAGAAAGACTTCACAAATTAGTGTTTGCTCAGCAGGTTAGACCCAAGTAACTAGAGGAGAAGCATAATCCGTTAAGAACAGCAGGACCTTCCTCATATTTATGGTGGCATGTCATCTCTGACTAAAACTCCTTTCCCAATGGATCTGGTGAAAAATTCTTGTTAAGACAAGAACTCCTACCAGAAAGAGTTCAAGAAGCTATTGGGATCCTTGGCAGTTCTAGGCACAGTTACTACTAAAAACTGTGATGGTCTACGACTGTTAAGTCGTCTTCCATATAGAAACTACCAAGTCTTGATGCCAGTAAACTGGATAATGGTGGCTGAAGAGATGTGTGTCATCTGCAGCCTTCACGTCTGGCCTCTGAACTTCTTGCAAAACAAGTGTTTGCAGGAAGGAAAGCTGCTTAATCCACCTTGCACTTGTTGCAGCAGAACCTCCTAGGTGTCAAAGCAAGCATGACAAACTTCTGTTGGCCTTCACCTTCACTTCTCTCCTTTCTTTGTTCTTTAAAATCCATGCTCCTTACAATTTGTTCTCCAGTCCTTTGTAACAGACTTATCACCAATGTCATCACCGATAACCAGAGGTGAGTCTTCTGTACCTCTGATGGGGAAGAGTGTTGTGTAAGCAGAGATTACTTTTTCGCCATCGTATCTAGCTATTTTAGGGCATTCTGGAGAAATTACCGAACCTGCACATGGCACTTCTGTTACAAGGTTTCAACTCTTGAGCTGTGCCCTTATCTATTAATGCATGACTTCTATCAACTCCGAAAACGGTTTAAATTCATCTGAAAGCATTAAAAGTTGCCTCTGTAAATACTGTCATCATTTGGATTTATACCAGCCTGGGGAAAGAGACATTTAAAAAAGTATTAAGGGATGAAGAGTAAAGCATCTGTCTGGGTGAGATAGGTGGATTTGGACAAATTTCTTTCAAACTTTATCCAAATGCGAAGGATAAATAGATGAGTTGTCAAATAGCTGATTTTTTTTTTCTGGCCTGCCACACGCTTAAGATTTTACAGCAAAAGTTACACCTGGTGAATGGGCGGAGAGATCTGCATAGCCCTGGTTATGGTTGGATGAGCCTGCAGATGTTACCACCTTCTGTTGCTTTTGTTTTTCCTAGCCTGCTTTTTTGCTACATTGCAGAGACAGAGCTTAATAAGCAGTTAGTGCTGACTGTCAGGGGAAGGAGGATGGATGCAGTGATGTGATATTAACCTGTTGATGATAGCTGCAGACTTCAGAGATGGTGAGCGTGAAACTCTGTGATTAACGTATTAGCAGCGTTTGGATGCATCCTCAAAATCACACTTCTGCCTTCACGTTCCTTTCTCTGTCGTGTTTCTTAATACCCAAGGGAAGTGAAGCATTCAGGTCTGCTATAGCTTCTTGGGTTACACCCTCCTTGCAGGGGCAATAACCCTGTGGAGGGAGAGAGCGTTAAAACTATTTCATTCAGTCCCTCCGGTCTGTACGACCGTGTTAATAAATACTCTTGGTATTTAAAAGGAAAATTGCAAAGCAAAACTAAAGGAAATTGGCCAATTCCCTAGCATGGTGAACAAACGGGGAAGAGTTGTGTCAGGGCAGAACTCTTCATTCATGTCAGAGAAATAAAATTGAGCTTCTGAATCTGGTAATAAGCTGACCTTTTTTATCATTAAACTCAACTACTACTTTTTCTCAAGAGCTGTCTCTTGAAACTGTAAGCTGCGGGTTAGCTGACTAACCACTGTTTTTCACCTAGACCTGAATAAAATTGCAAGGTGAAGTTGAAGTTTCACACACCTCCATAAAGGCTAATGTGTAGGATGAGCTAGTGCTGCCTCAGAGGCTTTTTATAGCAGAGTGATTTAGAAGGACGTGCTTAGTGGCCAACTTTCAAAAAAGCTGTATGTTCTGGAAACTTTGAACTTCTCCTTCCTAAGAGAAGTAACTGTTCTTCTGTACGCTGTTTTGAAAGCAGTAAGCCTGTCTCCCAGGATTATTAAAAAAACCAAACCAACATACATAAATACACACAAACATAAATGTTCTAAGAGATGCCTGGGAAAAATGTGTCCGAAAGCAGTTTTGATCCTTATGTTCTCAAGTATGAAAGAATATGAGTAGGAATATCTTATAGGTGGATCCAATATGTAACAGTACATGAGACTTAAGACCTTAGAGGGTTTGAGTCCTAATCATACTGTGTGGCTGAGCCTCCATGCTGTGTCCCTTATCGTTCGAACCCCCCAATTTTATTTGTAAATCTTCCAACTAACTTTCTTGAATGTGTATTAGTGATATTTAATATGATTGAGGGGACACTTCTAGGAAGCCATCTTCATTGTCTCAACTTGCAGTTTATTTGGAAGATTCATCAGCTGCAAATCTCCTTTCCTGTCTGGAGGTCAGATATGTTATATGTCAAGGAGTACAATTTATCGCTTGGTAGAGACTTTTAGCTTCTGGTAGCTGTTCTGGACAAAAGCTACCTGGTCTTAGCTGGTTTAGTGAATGTCTGTCACTAGTCCACGCTGGTTTATGCCTTATTCATGTGAAATTTGGAGACCAGAAAGTTTGAAATGCTGAGGGGGAGGAAGAGAAAGAGGAAGAGTTTCTTACAAATTGGGCTATACAGAAACTGTTTTAATGCATTAACACTGATTACAGTGAAGCAAACATTAGGGTCCCTGGGCTGATAATCAAATTGCAAGTTTGTGAAAGTGCTCTTGGGTTAGGCTAGTTCAGGTACTTGTATACTTCTAAGTGTTACTTTAATAAGCTTTCACAAGAGGGCAGAGTAGAATTTGCTCTGGGAACTGTAGTTGTCTTGAGACTTGCATATATCTAGAAATGAGCCAGCTCAGATTCCTTGGGTGTTAGGATAGCACGAGCTTTATTATTCATGCTGGCCACCTGCACTGCATACCCTCCCGGGCACTGTGTAGCTCTTCAGTTGCTGCTCCCCAACGGAGGGTCCCAGGGGAAGCCACATCCCCAAGTGCCCTTCCCCAGCCGAGGGGATGCTGGAGTGTGGAGGAGGAGAAGTCTGTAAACGTGCCCCCTGCACCACCACTGGCAATGTTGGCTTGTTGGTTGTAGCTAAAACAATCATGTGGCTGTTGTCAGCACAAAAATCTTGTAGTTGCTAGCACAAGACGATGCTGTGGCACAGATAAGCGAGTTCTTCATAGTTTGCAAACATAATAAAGGAGACGCTGCTTGAAAGCAGCAAGGTTTCTTTGAAACACGTTGAGGTGTGGTAAAATAACCAAGAAAACTACTTGAAAAGGAAATACTGTGTATCTCTAGCTTTATGAATCTTTAAGTATGTTGGCCAATTCACTTCTTACAGTTATTAGGATGATACCTAGGACCATCATCTTTTTTGAGACACTTCAGAGGCCACAGAGAAAATTAGCTCCCTCTGCCCCTTTTCTTTATTAGAGGACAAACTGAGTTAAGTGGTTTTTTTGGGAACATCTCAGAAGTGTCGTTTCACTTCTTTGTCATACCTCAATACTGTGCATTCCAGTAGTTTAGCTAAAAGAGCTGCCTTTGATCTTTCATCATGCTTTGAAGAGTTTTCTGGCAGGTTATTCTGTACAATTCAGTGCTACCTCAGTGCAAGTCAACTGACGTTTAACATTATAACATCCTCTGTGTGTGAAGACTTTCACATTCTTTTTTTTTTTTTTTTTTCTCCAGATTGATCCCAAAGATTACATTTTTTCCGGACTTAAAGATGAAACTGTCGGTCGACTGCCCGGAAAAGTAGCAGGGCAACAATTTGTCATTCAGGACTGTGAAAATTGTAGTATCTACCTATTCGACCATTCTGCTACAATCACTGTTGATGACTGTGTAAACTGCCGAATCTTTTTAGGACCAATAAAAGGCAGCGTGTTTTTCCGTGACTGCAAAGATTGTAAATGCATAGTGGCCTGCCAACAGTTTCGCACTCGGGACTGCAGAAAGCTGGAGGTATTCTTGTGCTGTGCCACCCAGCCCATTATCGAGTCCTCCACAGGTATGAAATTCGGCTGTTTCCAGTACTATTATCCTGAGCTTGCTTTGCAATTTAAAGATGCTGGACTGAGTATCTTCAATAACACATGGAGCAACATCCATGACTTTACTCCTGTGTCAGGAGAAAATAATTGGGGCCTTTTGCCTGAGAATGCTGTAGTCCAAGATTACGTTCCTCTTCCCAGCTCTGAGGAGCTGAAAGCTGTCAGAATTTCTACTGATGCTACAAGGAGCATAATACCAATAACTCGAGGGCGGAGACAGAAAAGCAGCGATGAATCATGTTTGGCCGTGTTTTTTGCTGGTGACTACACAACTGCAAATGCCAGGAAGTTAATTGATGAGGTAAGCGACCTTTGTCTACGTTCAGCTTTTTGAATTTCTAATTGAACTTCCCTCTGGATAGATTCTGGTGCTCCCTGAAGGGAGAATGCAGAGGCTTTGCTTGTCTACTAAGCATACCAATCAAATGCAGCGTTTGAAACCTTAAAGCAAGGTAAGAGACTGCAGCTCATCCTATCGGCTGTTTTGCAGATGGCATCTTGTGATTGGCACATCTATCCTCTAATAGTTCCAGTGCACTTTTCAATCATGGCACACCAAAGCTATGTTCTGAAGAAAATGTGTAGCTGATTTGATGAACTTGGCCAAATGTAGACTGATTGACAAGACTTGTGAAAGGGGTGTAGCCAATTAACTTGTTAGCTTATTGCCCCAGTAATCACAGCTAACAAAACAGTCTGTCCTGAAACTTTTTTCATTACTAACAGAGACTTTAACTTTTTTTTTTTTTTTTTTTTTTTTAATTACATCCCCCTTGCCACCCAGTATTGGAATTTTTTTCTGGAAGAGTTGTGAGAGTTTGTTATGGCTGCTCAGCTGTCTTTGATTACATAAACAGCTGGTGCTGTCTCTTTTTTTTTTCCTTCCCCCCTTCCCTGTGAGGCAGCAGCTCCCAAGCTTGGCTGAGTTTGGGCTCTCCTGGGGCTAAAATCTGGGAGTGGCTGCCTGCTCTTAGAACCCTGGAGTGCCAGGGATGACAGAGCTGGGCCAGTAACCACGAGCTACAGCTTTTGAGAGAGATATCTGCAAAAGCTGCTGATCCCAGTGTTGCATGATCAGCAAAACAACTGATGGAGCTCTTTAGCTTGGGCTTTTAACTGCAAGGAAAGAAGGCTGTAGAGTGTTTCCATGCTCCCTCCGCTGCCCAGTTAGATTTTTATGGAACTGAGTTACTAACCAATACTTGAGTGAAGGGAGATAATGATATTTATGGGCTGTTTTTTTTCTGAAGAAGGAATAGCTACAGTAAAGAGAATAATAGATATGCTCTCCTGTGTTAGTAGCTCTTTAGAAATTAGAGTTGAGACGACAGTAAAAGGCTAGTTAGTGAGATTCTCTGGAAATCTTACCACTGGGTAGATTAATAGATACAAATTAATAGGATGCAAATACAGTTGTTCCTTCTCCACATGCTTTTAGTTCTGTATTAGATTTGAAGTAAAAAGCTGTGTGTGTGTGTGTGTGTTCAAAAGTTTGTAACTGTTTTTCCAGAGTAGAAAACTTCAGTAGTGGATAGATGAGAGTTTCAGCTAATGCTCGACTGAACTATTGCAGACTAATGAGAACTAACTGCTTGACTCCAGATGCTGAATGCTTTTAACTCCCATTAGTTTCAGCTTGTGAGGGATTGTGGGGAAAAAAACACAACCCTGGGCTGCGATATAAAACAAAAACATTCACATTTATTCCTCTAGGTGCACTAGAGCAGAGGAGAAAGTCTGGATAAATGGAATAAAAATAAACAGGAATGTAGAGAAAGCAAACGGTCTTTGAAAAGAGCAAAAAGGGTCCCTTTGCTCTGTGGCTTAATGTGTATGGGGGAAAATGGGTCTATTCCAGTGTAACCTGGATACTTGAGCTGAACTCTGCCTTAGAAGCATTTTTAACATGAATTCTTTCTCTGTTAACAGATGACTGGTAAAGGCTTTCAGCTGGTACAGACTAAAGAAGTCTCAATGAAAGCAGAGGATGCTCACAGAGTTTTCCAGCAGTGTGCATCAGAATTCATTCCACTGCTTGAAAAAGGTGAGTTTGTATTTTCTTTCTCTTCTTGATACAGGAATCTAGCTGTCATGACAGAGTTCTGGAGCAGAAAGAGGAATGAAGGAGAAATTTGTGTTTCAAGGGTGTAGTGTGAAGCCGGTTGCGATGAGTTTTGTTTAGAGCCTCATGAGGCCCTAAACCAGCCAAGACTCCCAAAAGCATCAGAAAAAAGCTATTCCACATGTGTTTTGTGGCTCTGTCCCCCCTCTAGTGGTCCAGCTGCATAGCTCAGGAGCAGTGGCACATGCAGATCTGTCTGGGGTAGTCAAAAGAACCTCATGCATTTAGACTATTTCTAACTTACCACCATTGCTGCTCAACCACCTTGGTGTTCAGTGCTTCTGTATACATATTTAAGCAAATAGGTATAGATGTGTATAAAGCAGGCAAGCGTTAAGTTCCTATTTATCACTGGTGTACTGTCAGAGTATTTCAGAAGCCTTCTTATTGATCTGACTGTAATTGGTTTTTGTCTCTTCCTGCAGAAGTACTGACATCTTGCCATCTGTTACATGCTAAAGCTCAGTACACATTCCCAAACTTAGTAGCAACATGCATTTTCTTTCACAGTAAGAGAGAGGTCTGTGATGCTCACTGCAAGAATAGGACAAAAGTTACTGTGCTTATCGGAGGAGTCTAGTTTAAGGGCTATTTTGCACCCTTGTGGGAAGAAATAACATGTTCAGAACAAAACCAGAGAAAGGGGATCTGCAAATAGTGGGTGAGAACAAGTCTTAAAATCAGGCAGTTTGCTATATCGGGACTGAGGCAGAAATGCCTGAATGACTCAGTCCTACTCCAGATGTCTGTGAAATGGCTCACTATTTGAGCAATAGAGTCTGACTCACTTCCACGATGCCCTGCACTCCTTAGTGTTTTTGAGCCATTGCTGCCTTTCAAGAAGTAAAACTGGAATCCTGCCAGAATCTCCGCAAAAACGATCATGGAATTACAGATATTTTGTTCTCAGATAACACTGTACTTTGAAGCTATGGTTAAGTGTTTTTAATTCTGTATCTTGCATTATGGCAGCTCAAGTAAAAACCATAAAACGTTTCTTGCAAGCTTCACAATTCCCTATGGGTTGAGAAATCTGTGTCAATGCCAAGCTTAAAAGTAATATTGATTCTAGATGAAACTGTCTTCCAGGTCCAGTGGTTGCTTTGGAGTTCGATGGGGATGGTGCTGTGGAAGGATGTCGAAGCACTGTAAATGATGTTTTTAGTGGGACCAAGGTAAGCTGATGTATTGCTTTATTGACAGAAAATTTTACAGAACTTCTAAGATACTTGATGGTCAAGCTGTAGTGTTGATGTACTGCACAATCTTCTTAGGTTTCTGAATAGTAAAATCTGAATATCCTATTTTTTTTGTTGGTTTATTTTGGGGTTTTTTTGTACTCAAAACTCAAGATGCTTGTCAGACAAGAATTGCCCTAGGAAAAAGAGTACTAAATCCCCATATCCATTGAAGAATGGAAGATTTGCACTTAAAACTGTTATTTTGCATAATAGTAAAACCAAGTTCTATAAATACAATAGGGAAAAGCTCTGCTCACAGTCTTGTACTGAAGCCTGCTTTGTGATGTCCTAGTCTATTAAATCCTGACAGAGATAATATGGAGGGATTTCAACATTTTTCAAGGTTTACTTTTGCTGTGTAGGATATTTCAGGATGCCTTCCTTCGAAGGCATTTTTCTTCTTTTTCTGCCAGCTTGTTTTCCTGTAGTTTCTTTACACAACACCTCCTTGCTTGCTGTCCCCATTCATCTGAATGGCAATGATTTTCAGAGAGTTTCTGGAAACAATTAGAGCATCCCTGATAATGAGAAAGTGACAAACCCTTCCTTTGCTTTCAAGCAGCTGTTCAAAGATGACTAGAATTAGAATGTCTTTGAGACCTAGTGTCCATACAGCTCCTTGCTGTCTTTCAGTTCCTTTTGAAGGAATTCCTTGGAGCTAGACTGCCCAGTTTCTGGACAAAGTTGTCTTGTAATAAGTCATCTCAAGTGCAGCTAGTATTTGCTTTTTTTGTGCCAGCAAAAACCTGATGTGTAGCGGGCCTTAGTTTGACTCTCTGAGTCTGAAGAATACTAGAACTGGGCAGTGTTGTGATATTACTGATTGTTCTTGTAGCCCAAAAGTCATCACTGCAAATTTTACCATAAAACTGGGCTCTTTAAGCAGAAGCTTACAGTAGCTTTTTTTTTAGTGTGGTTAGCATATTTTTTTTTCATACAAAACAAAGCTGATACTGGGTAGGTAATTTACTGGTTCTTCTAGATCTTTTTCTTTATTCAAAGACTGAAGTGAAATTAATTATTAGAACAAATAACATTTTATATTTTCTTCATGGAAATGACTGGTATCTGTTGTTTTAATACTGAATGGCCTGATCTGAGATGCATCCAGAAAGCTCAGACTGGGCGCTTCATGCTGTGAAGTAAGCATTGTTCTTGGAGGTGGTCTGTAGTGTTTGGGTTCTGTCCCAAATGTGAAATTACTTACTGCATCTGGATTTAAAAGCTCTATTTACAGCCTGGTTCCACAGTAAAATCTATCTCACTTATTTTAGACACTTGTTGCACTGAATTAAGAAGCAGACCTTTGGGCTTCCTAAGAAGTACATATCTTTATTTAGATAAGATAAAACTCAAAAACTTCTGATGAACACTGGGTTTGTGCATGTATCCCTTGATAATTCAATATCATGAGTATACATTTTTTAGAAAATGTATTTTTTTCTTGGGACATAATTTAGAAGCAGTTTAGGGGGTAACAAACTTCAGACCTAGTACTACCAGAAGGTTCGGGAATGTTCTATAAAGTGGTTTCACCTCGTTGTTGGCTGCCCTTATGTTTGAGGGTTGTTACAGTGCTCAGAAAGAATTATAGGTGTTCTTGATCAAGAAACAATGACAAAAGCTCTTAGGAAGACGTGTATCCTGTAAGGCTTTGCAGGAGATTTATTTGCTTTTCAGCGGGTGGTTACATTTGCGTTTGAAAACCACGGTTAAAAATTATTCAATTCATCCATTAATAACCCTGATTTCACCAGGTTTTTGTTTCTGAAATAAATCTGATAAACGACTCTAGATACTCTAGTACCGTTAGAAAAGTTCTTCAGCAGTAGCACCACTGGAGTTTTTTGAGCTGTTTGGTAGAAACTATTAGAAGGAAAGTTCTGTGCGATGCGCTTAAGCAGACTTCCTATTTGTGTGGACTAGACAGGCCTGCACTCTTTACCTCTGGTGTTCTTTCTGGTGTCTTGCACCTTTTTTGGCACGCTTTCTAGTGTTGTTCCTTGGTCTCATCACTTATAAAATAATCTGAAAAATATAAATGGTAATATCCTGGTAGGGAGGGACGTTGAAAGGAGGTATTCAACTGTTGTGACCATGGTACCAATCGCTGTCACACCAAACAACTGCCAAATAATTAGTGGATATTCTTAAGTCCCTTCAATGAGACGTCTACCATGTGTCCAAGCAACAGCCTAGGGAACTACTTGCTTTGTTTTAAATTGGAAATTTACCAGACAACGGGATATTCATCTTAAAAGGTAGTTTTAGTAAACCAATTCGAGGGAGTGTCATAGTTGACATTCACGTGGTATTCTGAGCTGAAGCAGAGACGTGGTGACTGTAGGAGCGGAGTTGTCTGGAATGACCCGTTCCCACAGCCCTAGTGCACTTCACTAGCGCACTTCAAGTTTTTTGAGGGGAATATAGTGCAAGGGAGTCTTTGTCCAGGAGTGGTGGGGGAAAACAAACACACAAAAACTTTAGACTACCATTAAGCTTGCTTTTAAGAGAAAGGCAGAGTTTTACTTTACCAAGAAAGTACATCTAAGCGGACGCTAGCTGAACCGGTGACGCCTGAATAATTGAGCCCAAAACTTTAAATTCCTGTTAGCGGAAGGCTAGGGTTGCTGCGGCTGGGCTGTCTTCTAGGAACAGGTAACAGCATCAGGGCTGAGAGAATTCTAGCACTGTTCTCTCATGGAGTGAAAACCAACAGAGTTGAGCCTCTCGTGAAATGCAAAAATAAAAATAACCATTACTGGCTCTGAATGAGCAAAGACTACTTGAACTTCTTTCTTACTGATGCGTAACTATTTCCTTGTTTAATAAAACAGGTTTTTGTATCAGAGAGCAAGGCATCAGCATCTCAAGACGTAGACAATTTCTACAACTTCGCTGACATGCAGATGGGAATGTGAAGTTTAACGTGAAGGTGTTCACATATGGTTTCTCTCGGCACTTGAAGGTTACTTGGATTGAATATTGCAGTAGTATCTGAGAAGTTTTGTCATTTGACTTTATATTTCTCATATATCCCATTTATAAAGCTGTTGGTGGTTTTAATACCATATTACCTGAACTGGAGTAAATGGCACAGCTCCCCATGTGCGTTGTGTTTGAAACTTACATTTCAACTTCAGAAACAACGGAGGCTTTCTACTAACTCTTCACAGTGATTTCTAAACTTCTATTGACACTTGAATATTTCTTGTCAACACCTAATGGTAATACATATTTGAAAAGTGCAATGTTGATCCAAATGTGATGCAGTAGTTACTGTTATCTTTAACTCAGACACATTGTTTAGAAAGTGCATTTATGTGGAACTCGCTGTTCAGAACTTGCCCACATGCAAATTTGTCTTCACGGGGGACCAGGGAGGGAGCTGTAGTCGTTGACTTATTTCTGAAAGCCTAGTCTGAAATGAATTCTCCTTATAGCACGCTTTCCGAAGCAGTGCGTGACTTACAAGATGTACATCTGGCTTATTCTGCTTCAGCATATTTTTTGAATAAGGTTGTTTGCCGCAGCATTTATGCCGAGAGTTGTCGCAGCGGCATTCTGGTGAGCGAGCACTCGCCAGGCTCTTCTGCTTTGAGGTGAATTCTGAGCACGAGTGTTCTGCTGAAGGTGCTCTAAGGTCCACTCAGGGTCTCCGGCGTTACAGCTGCCTCTGGTATTCCCAAGTCACATATGGGATATACACGAGGTTTCCTTGGGCTCGGAGCAGTAATTCTCTGGCACCGTTGTTTGGTAGAAGGAGCATACAGCAACAAGGAGTCAGAGGAGGGCTTGGATGGTGTTAAAAAAAGCTCCTCCTCGCTAGACCCCAGGAGAAGGGTTTTTACACTCAGTAGTAGTGCTGAAGATTTGGCTGTAAAGTACTATACACTGCTGTAGGGCTTATTTTGGATTAATTCTAAAAACAGACCGAAGAAGTGCTACTAGCATTTTGGGAGATGCATTTGAATAGTGATCAGTAAGGATGCTTATTGCTATATAGTGCATATTAGAATGCAAATCTAGATGGGTATTAAATAAATGATTGATTTATTTTTTGCATATTATATTATTACTGAATTTTCTACATGAATTTAAAGCTTATGGCCAGGCTTACAAGCCCTGTGTAATACTTGAACAGATTGTGCGTGCAGATGCACAAAACCAAATTTCTTAATGAAAAGTGTGGCTTGCCAGTTGATGTAGCCTTTAGAATCCATTGAACGGACTGGGGCTGTGTTGAGGTGCTAAAACAATAATTTCGTCATTATGGTCATCTGTCAAAAGGGAAGATCTTGCGCATCTTAACTGAAAATGAGTCTCAACTCATCAGTTTCACAGCTCTGGAGCTCCAAAAGTGGGTAGCTAAAAACACATCTCTTCCTGATTTTTTAGAATTAGCACATGAGAGAATCTGTTCTCTTGAAATTCATAATTCTGTCATGCCCAAGAGATGTTCTGAGCTGTTATTTTGTTGCTACTAGGCAAATGCTTGCCTTTAGTTTAAACTACATACCTAGAATATGTCCTTAGGACCTCTTGCTTCAGGTTACGCGTAGATTAACTGAGGAAGATCATCTCCTGAAGTCACTAAACCATTGGTGTACTGAAGGTAAGAAGAATGTCACTTCTGTGAAATGTTTTGATTTGACAATGTGAAATAAAATCAGACTGCCACCAGAATTTGACTGGTAGTGGAAAGTAACACTTATTTGCACTTAGCCAGCCAAGACTTTTTTCAGTAAGTGTGAGGAGAGGCTGTGAAAACAGCTAAAAATTTTAGATTGATCTCCAAAGTACTAGCGCAGCTCATCAATGTGTATTTGCAGGAATTATTCTAGATACGTATAGTAAATGTATCTTTCTGATATGGACAGTACATTAAAATTGTGTAATGTACTTCAGATCTGTCATTGTGTAACTTATCAAAGCGGTGCATATATAGGACCATTGGGGTCGCTAACCTTTTACATGTAATATTTGCAAATTTATATGCTGATACATGATTATATGTATGTTTATAGTTTTATTTTTTTGTATCATCAACCTACTCTGGAAACAAAGTGCTAAATTGGTTTTTGTGACTACTTTTGCTGGAGGACAGGATGATTAAATGAAACTGAATCTAGGCTTAAAACAGTGGGAAAACTTTAGAAAAGAGCAGAATGTTGACTTTTTTTTTTTTTTACATTGATAGCCTGCTTACCAACACAAAGAGTTTTTAATAAAAACCCCTCTAATGAAGGAGTTTCTCAATCCAATAATTTATCTTTTGACTTCAATTTCTTGTTACTGGGTGTTAAGAACACTTCTAGCCTAAGCATCAGGTATTGTAAATGTTACAGAAGGGTACGTGCTTCATGTAGTCTCTGTACATTTGTTGTGTAGCTTTTTATCTAATTCGGATTGTCCTGTGAACGTGATTGATAATAAACATTGAAAATTTAAACTGGATTCTGGAAGACTTTTTAAAATGAGAAAATATCGCAAAACATAATTACATTATATTAAGTATAAAAGCTGAATTCAGTGTTTAAACAGGGACTTTAAAGAGATATTCACAGCTAACTGAAAATAAACATTAACTCTGCATCATCCATCTGCCAAAAAGGTCAATTTTTGACAGCAGGGATTTTTCCCCAGAGTCACCCAGTATATGATTGATTTTACGCTGCCGTTTTCCTAGTAAAATATGGAAGAAGGTATTCCTATATTGGTCTGTAGAGATACAAGTACAGAGGTTCCTGGATGGGGGCTGTTAAAGTACTTCCCCCTGATCTGTGTGTGCATGTGGTTGTTTCTTTCTGTTTTGTGTTTTTTAACTTGTGAAAGTTTTGTGCTTTTTAACTGCGCTTGCCTCTTTGGGTGCTAGGTGCATGCTAACGATGTGCTCACAGCAAAACCAGGTTGTGGTGGTTATATAGTAGAATTGTTCAGTTAGAAAGCAGTTGCTTTGTATATCCCATTTAACATCTGAAAACAGGTAAAACCTCCTGAAAACAAGTAAACAGATAATAAAATCCCAAACTCAGCTTTAAACTGGTCAGAAATGGGTCTTCCAACTAGAGATAGTCTAGGGTAACTTTGACAAAGTGTAAGTGCTTGATAAGAACATGAAGTACTTAATCAGTATAATTTTCTTTTTAATATGTTGTATTAAACTGTGAAGCTTTAGAAAAATCAAAGCTTTTGGTTTATACTTGGCTATTATTGTACAATATTTCAGTTTAAAAAAAAAAAAATCTTGTACCCCAGTTGGATCTGAGTTGCCTAGTAATCCTGTTTATGTAATATCGAAGTCACAGAAAAGCTGTCTTTAAGTATTTTCACAATTTTTACCAATGACATCCTCATCCTAACATGCAGAAGATCTGTATCTGTGCTCCAATTGCCAGGAAGTCACCCACTTTCTTTTGTCGTACCTAATAGTCATGCATAAAATGCGTGTATTTCAGTCATCACGTACCAGGCTGCACTTGCATAACTGGGGTAGATTTTGGTTTTTTAAATCCAAAAAGCAGCCAAAAAAACTTCTTATAAAATAGGCGCTCCAGTCATTCTAACAGGAGCAAAAAAGAGTTTCACTGACTGAAGCATGAGCGGGAACTCTGTAGCTGAATTTCTTCTCCTAAATGCTGTCTTTTAAGTGTTTAGGCTTTATTCATACAGCATTCAGCTTTCTGTGCATATTTAAATCAGTGTTGCTGATAATATCTTCTAGAAGGTGTTGATTCCCCAGGCTTTTTTCTAAAGATTTAATAAGAGCTGCTGTGAAATGAATCTTTTAAGACCTCATAGCAGCCCAGGTGCTTGCCTGAGTAGTTACAAAACCAGGCTTTTTGTTCCCAAGTTCCTTGTTGACTACTTTGGACCTTTGTGCCATTTCTTTTTTGAGTTAATGAGTAAGCCTTCCGACTCCCTAACGCTGACCTAGGTTTTTGGAGGTCTGCAGCAACAGCTCTTCCAAGGCATGATTAAACCTGATCTTAAAATCTCTGAATTCTAGTCCCAACAGTATTGAAAGCTATGAATAAGTGCTGATTTTAAGCATTGTCTCTAGCAGGCATGGATTTGAGTGGGATTGTGCAAGCAGGCTGCAGTGCTTCATTAAGTTGTGTGCTGTAGTACTGCATTCTTGCTGCAAGCTGTTGGAAAGCAGCTTGGTGGTGGTCCACCCTGTTCCCTGGACACCGCAGAGCTCGCACTACTAGCTACAGCAATTTGCTGAGGGTAACAATTTCTGCAAGATATTAACTTGCTGTATTGTCCGCCTGGAGGTTTTCCTTGAAGCAAGCTAGTCTGAGCTCTGTCTCTCAACACAACCATTTATGTATGGGAGAACATTATGAGCATCAAACCTGGTAGAAGCAGGAGGTACAGGAGGCTTCCCTGAATGGTTGGGAGTCATGGGGTGTTAACAGGCCAGACATTAGTATCTTGGTGTCCGGTTTGATAGAAGAACACTTGTTACTGCATTCATCTCTTCGGCATGCCTGGTTGCCATAAGACTGCTGCTGGTAACGTCTGTGGTCATGCACTCTTCCCGATGCCTCTGTAGTCATCGCGGGTTCTGAGTGAGAGAGAGAAGAGAAGGAGGGGAAGTGAGAGAAGCTTTTAAAAAAGCTCCGAAATTTTCTGAGTGCGCAAAGAAAAATGTGCAACTGCTCATTCCTTCATCTTTTTGTGCATCTAGGATAATCCCCAGCTATCTACGATTTCACAGCTAGAGTATCTGGGGATCTTCCCAGAATGTATTAAGCAACATGACCAGCATCTGTCAAGTACGAGTCGCCCTCTTTCCAGTTGCACAAGGCTTTAGAATTGCCGGTGTTGTCAAGGGTCTAAGAGACCTTCCAAACCCATGTGGATTTCCCTCACATCCATCTCTTAGAGCTACTATAGAAAATTTGTCCTTCAAAGCATCAGGTAAAGTTGGTAGATAGGAAGTGGTGAGGTTGCAATGCTCCTGAACGGCCTTTAAATGAGTTTTTGACATTCCCAAACTGCAAAGGCTAAAAGCAGCGTGCTGTCACAGGTTCTACCCAAACCATAAGGTTAAATTTAAGGATAGGCACCTCTGCAGTACTGGGTGCTCAAAGGACTCTGCGTCTGGATGACAGCGGTATGTATCTGCTTTTCCCCCTTCATTTTACCCCAAGTATTGTGGTGAAGAAGTCGCAGCTCACAGAGTCATGTGAGAATCTTCATTTTCGTTTTTAGGAACCTTTTGTTCTTATAGTGAAGAAAACTTTAACAGGTTGGGTTTGGGGTTTTTTGTTGGTTGGTTGTTTTTTTGCTGTTTGAGCCATTAAACTCAATCTCTCAAAAATAAAAAAATAAAACACGAAACAAATGTTTTAGGGGGGTGGGGTGACTGTTGGCTTGTGATTTCTGAGCACTGAAGGGAGCAGCAGCCTTACTTCCCCCTACTTACTGGATGCTGACTGCTGTAAGGGAGATTTCCCCCAAACTGCACATATGGCAATGCAGATGCAGCTAACTTTGCGACCTTTTTAGGCAACAGACACAATTTGTTTCCTCACTAACACAAGCATAAGATGTATTCATCGATTCTTTTTTGTTAAGTACTTACTTGAATGCATTTAAGGTACAGAGCCGTAATACTGATAGGTTTTGAAAGCTGCTGGCAGTCCTCTCCATTCTATGTTACTGTCTTAGAAGGAGAAAGATAAATCGAAGGTCTCCCTAAGCACAAAACTTTGAACTTGTCAGATCCTGGGAAGTGAAGCTGGCACATTTTGCTCTAAGGAAAGTAAATGCTTCGTGATTGTGGAGGTACTTTTTTTTCTTTTTTTTTTTTTTCCCCCCCCTGAATGTGCTGTTCTTTTTGTGAGGGGAGACCTTTCCCCCACCCCTATTTCTGAAGTCCCTCCATAAAAACCACTTCAGGGGCTTTTCTTAAAGGGTTCTGGAGATTAAATGGAAGGGCTGTACTATGACCTGAGGGCATCTTTTGATAGCTGCCCCAACAGGTGCTAAAGCATTGGATTCAGTGTTAGAGGTAAAGGCAATCTTCTGAAGCTCGGAGTGCTTTTTGCTGCTATTTCTAATAGTATCAGAAACGGTTTTAGTCACGAGAGGGCTTGAAGACAGCTAGCCATCCTTAGATGAGATTCTGCTTTGCATTTTTTTCCGCAGAAGCATTCAAGTTACTCCACAGTGATAATTAGCTCTCTCCTTTGCAGGTGGGTGTTTGTGCTTTATGATAACACTTCAATAATTTTGCTCATTGTGAAAGGAAAAAACGGGAGTTAAGCTTTCCCATCTCTCGGCGGTAGCTGCCAATGCTTGCTCTGGTTTCAAACACGTTGCAGCGAGGTTTCAGCAGTGGTATCCGATCTAGCAATGAAGGGAGTTTTATGCAGCATCTACGTGTTTCAGAGGAAGGTGCTATATCAGGCTTTGGTATCTGTGTGTTTATCAGAGTCAACTAGAATTGCTGCCCATGGAGGCTTCTACGTGCAGGCTGGGAATGCTGCAAAGACCTGGAGGTAAGGGATATGAATTAACTTGCCAGGCCTTTACAGTTCTTACTTCTCCCCGCCACTCCTCCATGATATTACAGCGTGTTTGTTGTTTTTTACTTCTCTGGCATCTGGTCAGAGATTGCAGGTTTTGTAGGGAAAAAAAAAAAAAAAAACAAAAAAAAACAAAAAAAACCAAAACACTTTCCTGTTGAAATGCACTGAAAACTTCTAGGTGTTTCAGTCTGAGATGCTTCTTCTGTGGCTCTAGTCCACGTTAAACTCTGCGTGACCCTGCTCCTCAGACGCTAAACATTACTTGAGTGTAACTTTCTCGATACCCTAACGTACTATGGGCAGCATTTGTAGAGCTGAATAATGACTTGGTTCAACTTTGGTATATACACATATATGTTATTTTATCCTGACCGTATCTCTTCTAGTTTCCGGAGCATTTCTCCCTTGGGAAGACTTCATGTTTGTGCTATACTTTATCAACATGTTAACATCTGGCTTTGTAAATGCCTTATATTCTCTAGGTGCATACGAGCATCTGTAGTTCATCCTTTCTCGAGGAAATGTGGAAATTGGGTTGCATATGTCCTTAAAAAGAACAACAGCGTACAACCTACTTCCTATGTGTTCCTCTTGCTCAGTGTTTCTATAGAAATCCATAGCAAGTCTAAACGCAATTCTGTGTAAATTCTTACCAAGTGGTAAAATAGTTTGCTAGAAGTTACACAGATAATAAAAAATGTATTTGCACATAAAAGCATTTACTGAAATTAGGAGCCCCACGGACTTTCTGCCACAGGTTTTCCCATGTCACCTATCTTAGGGCCCTGAGCACACCCCGTACAGCTGTGGATTTACTGTAGAACTAGAGGTTTGGATGTCGTCTTCTGCTGACATGTGGCAGCCAGTGCGGGGGGGAGGGGGGTGATTCCAGGCATGAGAAATGAAGATAGCTGCACAGCACCTTTCCCGGGTTGGGCTGCATCTGTTCCTGATGAAGTCATTCATCTAGAAAGTAATTTGGCAGGAGACTTCTCATAGGAATGTTTCCTTCACTGATGGGAATATACGTTCTTCGTAGTCCTTCAGAATGACAGAGACTTTAAACACTATGTATATACACTCTACTAAGCAGGTTTCACGGATGCAAAAAATAGAAATTGTTTTCAAATCCAAATGAAGATATTGGTACTTGAAAACGGTTACTTCTTAATTTAACTCAACCAGACTTTAAATTCCTTCTATGAGTAGAAAACATGTCTTTTTCTAGGTTTTATCACTCTGAATTTTCTTAATTTTGGACTTAAAATCTCTTGTCTAAAAATCATTATTGCCTGACCTAGTCTAAAAATCATTATTGCCTGACCTACTGCCTGGACCACCTGGTTTGAAGTAGAGGATTCTACAAGTGGTGGTGGGGGAGGTAGGGGGAGAGTGCTCTTGGTATTTTACTTGATGTTGTGGTTTTCTGAAGTTGCTCACAGTGTTTTCCTGACAAGTATATATTAATGAACAGAAGGCAAATGAGGTGATTGCTGGCGCGTGAAGGAATTCATACATGTCAGCATCACTGTTTGGTTGTGGTCTAACTGCATTTGTAGAAAGCTACATTTTTTACTATGCACAGGGATATTAACCAGCAATTCAAAAGAAAAAAAAGACTGGTTTTAGGGTTGCTTTGTTTTTTGTTTCTTTGTTTTTTTGTTTGTTGGGTTTTTTTTCCCATCAGCAGCAGGTGGTAGATCCACAGAAATCCTTGTCAGCAGTGATTTACAGTCAGAAGCCTACATGGATTCGGTGAAAGCTGACTTGGACAAGTACTTGGAGAAGTGATCTGTTGAGGGTTTCTAAACAGACGTGCCACATCCTGCTTGGGAAATCCAAGCAAGAAGTAGTTGGAGGCTTGCAGAGTACGTGGGGGAAGTATCTTACTGTGGATGCCCACTGGGGCCAGGAGGAAGTCGATGCAGGAGGCCTGTGACTTGGTAGAGCCAGCGGGAGGCTGTTGAGCAAGATGGAACGTTTGGCCTGAACAGTGCCTCCTTCCTTACAACCCATTTCACCTCCTCTTTCGGCTGCTGTCTGGAAATACTGTAGAGGTGCAGCTCCGGCATCCAAAACTATCCCTGCCATGCTTGCTGCTCATCTCTTCATTCCTTTGCCTTTGTCCTCCTTGTTATTGTATTCTTGCTGTTTCTTCTCAGTGCCTGGGCCTAGAGGGAAGGGCTGTGTCCCAGATTTGAGACTCCAAGTACAAATCCCTTCTCTGCCCTGTTTATGTAGCCTTTCTGTGCCTCGGTTACTGCGTGCACGGAGAATGGAGCTGCAGCAGCTGTGAAGGGGGTTCTCCAGATAAATCTCACTGCAGCAGTCATTCTGGTAAGGAAGGCAAAGGGGCTTTGCAGCGCGCCTGATGCCATACTTGGTAATAGCGGTGTGGGAAATCTGTGTGGGTGCGAGGCCTAATAACGGAGGAGGTTTGCCAAATTTTTGCCGTTGTTTCCTTTACTCTGAAGCGATGCTGCCCACTGTGCTTTCCTTCAAACGTTGCTTCGAGGGGGGAGCCCCGTCAGGGGGCCGAACGATTAACAGCAGTAGCTGGCTAAAAGCTGCCTGAAGGTAGACTTTACCCTCATCATTTTACAAGTTGTGTCCCTTGCCTAAAATGTTCTTAATTTAGCGGGGGGGGGGGGGGGGTGAGGTAGGGCCTGACCCTGCCACCAGCCCGAAGTTGGGTCTCGGTGGCCGGGGGGACGCGGGCCGGGAGCTGGAAGGGAGAAGGAACGCAGGAGAGCAGCGGGAACCACCTTCCCGGTCCCGGGCGGGGTTGGCTCCCCTCAGCCCTGCCGCCCGCCTTGAGGGGGGTGGTGGTGAGGGGGGGGGGGGGGGGGTTGGGGCCGTGGCCTTCCCCTCAGGCCGCTTTCCCGCCCGCTGTGCCGGCGCAGCTGGCAGGAAGGCCCGTCCCGGCGCGGCGCGGGCAGGGAGGGAAGGGGAAGAGGCGGGGCCGGGAGCCCAGCAGTGTCAATAATACAATAGGGCTCTTGTGCGGCCTCCGGAGGAGGAGGAGGAGGAGGAGCGGGGCCTGGCTGCGGGCGCGCCGAGCAGCCGGCACACGCAGGGCGGGAGCCGCCGGCGGCCACGGGCCCGGGCGGGCGGAGGCGATGCGCGCCGGCGCGGGACGGCACCACCACCAGCAGCAGCACCACCAGCAGCAGCAGCAGCAGCAGCCGCCGCCGGAGCTCCAGCCCTGACGGCCGCGGCCGCCCACGCCGGCGAGCAGCGGGGAGGCGGAGGCGGCACCGGCGGCGGTAGCGGTAGCGGCGCGCCGGGCCGGGCCGGGCCGGCGGCGGGAGGTGAGAGCGGCCCGGGCTGCCCGCATGGAGGCGGGGCGGGGGGCGGGCGCCGGGGCCGCCGCGCCGGGCCTGCGAGCGGGGGAGGCGCCGGGCCTGCGGCGGGCAGGAGGAGGCGGCGGCGGCGGCGTTTGGCGCCAAGGCCGGGCAGGAGGAGGAGGAGGAGGAGGAAGCAGCGGCGGAGGGGGGGGGGGGGGAGGCGGCGGGTTCTGCGGGTACGTGGGGCGCAGCGGGGGCTCGGAGCCGGGCCGGGCGGGCAGCGTTGTTCCCCCCCCCCCCCCCCGCCTCCCCCCTCCACCATCCGGCGTGGGCGCTGCGGCCGCGTCCGGAGGGAAAAGTTGCGGCGGTTCCTCCGCTCCCCCCCCCCCCCCCCCGCCTCTCTCGCCGGGCTGTGCCCGCGGCGGGCGGCAGGGGCTGGGCGGCGGCGGCCCCCGGCGAAGCGCCCTTTTGTTCGCCGCAACCCGGAGAGGCGGCGACCCGCCCGGTCCCCGGAGCCGGCGGGGCCCTGCGGAGCGCGGCTGGGCGTGGCGGGCGGGCGGACAGACAGACTGCCAGACAGCCAGACAGACAGCCAGCCGGGCGCTTGTCCGCCGCCGAGCACCGCTCCGCCGGTATGTCGAGGAACTTGCTAGAACTGAGTTTGACAATGAAGCCGTAGCGCAGCCCTCCCGCCGCGCCGCCGAGGTACGTTTTACCCGGGAGAGCGGCCCGGTGCCCGGGGAGGGGGGGGGGGGGGGGCGGTGGGTGCAGGTCCCGGCTTGGATCCTGCCGGCCAAACCTTCCTGATCGTGCAGCGTCTTGGCTTCCTTGTCGCTCCCCTTTTCTGCCAGGGCAGGGGCGCGTTTTAGGGAGGCGCGGCGGCCGGCACGGCCAGCGGCCGGGGATGGAGCGAAAGTCGCGCTTGCGAATAATTCTGCGGTGGCGAACGGGAGAATTGGGCACGGGGCACCTTAAAGGACGTCTTCATGGGAAGAATAAATGCTGCCTTTTTTTCTTTCTGTTTTTAAACTACAGTTACCTTATGAAAGAGCGTTTATAGTTATTGGAGGACTTAAGCTATTGTTCACAAATTGTTATAATGAGTGGCTGTGTACTTAAAATATCACTAAAATAGCACTGTACTTTAAAGACGTTCTTTTTTTTTTTTTTTTTCTGGAGAAGGGGATGCTGCTGGAAATGGCATCCAGTTGTGATTAGCAATCCTGTGATTAAAAGACACAAGAAACTTGAAAGCTATTGTGCGTCCCTGTTCGCGCAGAAGAGCCTTTGCGCTAACACGGAAAGATTAAGAGAACTGTATTTTGTCTCGGTGCGTGAGAAATGTTTTATCTGCAGCCAACTTTTTACGTCATGTTGGTGCTTGTTGTGGGCTGTGCTGTAGAGCATCTCGAGCACACCTGCCCATCTCTACCACGCGAGCCCATATCTGAGTGATGGTTAGAGCTAACCCGAAAGCGCGAGAGCCGGATGGGTTTAGAGAGGAGGGGGCGAGCTGGATGAAGGCACGTTAGCGTACCTTTCAAGCCTGCCACAGACTTCCTTAGCAGGACGTCAGAAGAGCCTTTCATCTGCACTTATCGAGGGGAGAAAATGCAATTTGAAGTCGCTTTAGTTAAGAAAGTGCCTTTTCAAATTAAAAGCACATTAGTGCTTTTAGGATCTAAAGTTTTGTAGGTTTGCTTTTTTTAACTGAAGTTTGGATCTCTTTCCAGATTAGATATGTCATGCCCTGTTTTTTAGTGCCAAAGAAGAGCAGAAGAAACCTCTCTTTTGCAAAAGTTGGGCTTTAGATGCAGTAAAAGTCATAAAAATAATGAGAGCTCTTTCTATTACCTGTCCTTCATTTGGTGTTTCCTGTTTCTGGGTTCCTTCTACAGAACAGGCCTCCCTCCTTCCCCCAGCAGGAAAAATACTCCCCTGAGTTGGGTCATTCAGTGGAACTGTGGGGGGGGTTGTGTTTTGTTTTGTTTTGTTTTTCCATTACGTACATGCAGCAGGTACCTGTGAAGATTTGCTGGAGAGCTGATGCAGGAACGTATGCAGTGGCATTTATTGGCAAGGATGCATGTTCATTCGGGACCTTGTTAAAATAATGAAAATCCGCTGTGAATGGAAAAGCCTGGGCTAGAGGATCTCGGTGTGGTGTTAGAATAAACCCAGGTTTTTCCTTCTCTGCGGTTCTGTGCACTTCCTCTCTGTGGCAGAAAATCAGGAAGTTTGCGTCTGGGATTTATTGGGATACCTGAGATTGCTGTGGGTTTTTTGTTTTGGTTTTCAAAATGCGCATAGTTTTCACAGAGCTGGGTGGTTTGCTTAGGGAGGAGAATTTACGAAGGCTGCTTGGCTATAATTGAGTGTTACTTTTACCTGTATGGCTTTATTTAGGTACACCCAGGCAGGCACGCGTGCGTGTGGTCACTGTAGTAGCTGCCACGTGCTGAGTGCTGTAGAGGATTTATCCCAAAGAGCTTGCTGCAGCTGGCCTCTGGGGTGTCTCGACTGGTGACCTGAACTCTTGGCTGGCGTGACAGCAGGTGTCCAAGGCCGTGGTGAAAACGGCTGGATTTCTTAGACCCGCTGGTGAGAAGTGAAGTCAAACCCTGTACAAACTGCCTTGCGGTTGAGTTTGAAATTGATACCCCTACAGTGTTCCCCGTGGTCTATTTAGGCAACTTACTTCAATCTTTTAAATTAATTTCTGACCATCGTGCCCCAGAGGGTAAGGAGGGCAGCGTGCTATCTGTCTGGGTTTGGTTAGAGGGGCGAAACCGGGGATGTATCTGGAGTAGGAACGTGCACCCGTTTTTGTAGTGTGTCTTCTATGATCCGTGGATGAAAATGTTATATAAAGCTTTGTTTCTGCGGTGTGTCTTTCACCTTTAGTCCCTAGAGGTCTCCTTTAGAAGTTGGTATGTGGTTTTGGGGGCTCTTACCTGAATAGGTTTGGTAGTGTAGCATTATGCCCACTCTTTAGAATATACAGGGCAATTTAATAACAGAGAATATTGTATTCAACTGAAATTTAGAAGTAAATATTTTGTTAAGCGTGGGTATCGTTCTCTCGATGCCATTTTATAACGAAAAACTTGTTTATTGCTTTTGGTTGGTGATTTCTTGCATTACAAACAGAACTGGACTTAGTCAAAAATTGCTGTTTGTTCATGCCCAGCTTAATCTCTCCTCACTCCCACTATTTTTGTGGGAGCTACAACTGAGGGCACTCAGGGGCTTTTGAATTTCTGGAGAGGGGAACTCTTCCTCTAAAATTGTGTAGCGTTTCTCTTTTCTGAAGATTTGAAGTGCTTATAACACTTGAGGCTTCTTGTAATTGGAGACATAACTGCAATTTTGACATACTTTACTTAAAATGGAAACTAACAAGTTAATAATAGCTCTTATCAGGGATATTTATGTAATGGAAGCCAACAGATGCTATTTGCATCTTGAAGAGCTGATGTATGAAATGTTATGTCAGGGCCCTGGCGGAGGCTGGGTCAGGTGGGAGTGGGAGATGCTGGAGATCTGTAGGGCTCGATGGCACCTCTGAAGAGTGGGATAACTATATGAAATCTTGCGTTTTAACACACAGCTGATTTTAACTTAATGCTGCTATTTAAAGTGGAAAGAGTGGGAGAGGTGATTTCTTTCATATTTATCCATGTTAAATGATCAATTACACTGTCACTTCAAAATTACTTTCCTTTATACTATCTTTTAGCTACAACTGCACATCTGATGTTCAGAACCCCGAAAAAGTGTGTCTGTCGATACTATTTGTATTGATTCTTTCAGCTATAAGATGGTATCTGGCAAAGAAGTTTTCGAAGTGTAACGTGACAGCCTGGGTGTTGACTTCTGTGGAGAGATGTCTGTGTACTAACTAACCACCTCCCTGTTTCCCTGGGCTGTTCGCTCTTTCATATTTCCAAGTCACCCTTCTCTAGATGGCATCTGAACTTTTCCAGCATTTAAGATCTTATTTCAGTGTGTAGGAGACCAAGAATTTGGGGATTAGAGCAGTCTGGGGCGTGTGATCTTGGGCCTGAGGAAAGCTCCTGCATTTGTAGAGCTATAATACAAGCTTTACTTGGATTTAAAGAAGTGGAAGAGACCCCGAGCTGCGAGCATGGCTGCGGAGGCTCCGCTGGCACTTGTTAAGTCGCCCTGCGCAGAGGAGCAGGAGAAGGTGGGAGGCTACGCTTGTGACTGCTGATGTTATTTGTTATAACTCTCTCCGGGATTAAATACTGGGATGCTTGCCTTAGCTTGTTGTACTTTGAAAACTTTGGAGTGCTTTCCTTCTTGAAAGTACACCTGTTACAGCATTAGCTTACAGAGCTGTGTTTCTTGCTTATTGAATTGGATGCTGAACATAACACATCGTGTCGTTAATGCCTCCTTGTGTTTTAATTAGAGCTGTAGGGAGATGTTAAAAAACAGGTTTATACACATGCCTGACTGGTTGCTAAAATGAATATGCTTGTCACCCAGTCTTGAGGGAATTATGTATTATTTTGTCAATCTGCTGTCCAGGGCTTTCCTCCCCTGCCCCTTTTCTTTTCTTTTTCCTTCCCCCACCACCCTAAAAAATTCTGCTTGAATATTTTCTGCAAGCCTGACATACCTGCAGGAAACTCCTGACTCTGTGGTAGCCTTCCCTGGTGAAAGGCTCAGGCTCTCGTTTGTGTCCTAGAGAGCAGTTTCGCGCTGGCAGGAGTGGTTTGCTGCAGAGCAAGTCCAACAGCTTCCGAGGGTTTGGGCTGTGCGGGGGGTGATGAGTAGATGCTGGGATGCCTGGGATCCTCCGAAGGGAGGGGTGGTACCCCGCTTACCAGGCTGTGCAAGCCAAAACAACTGACCAGGAGCGTCTATTGCAAATAGTTAATTCTGTGCGACTGTGTTAGGAAGTGTTTTCCAAGCTGTGTGTTAAATTTACAGGTAGTTCTTGTTTTGGAATATGCTGCTGGGTAGATGATCAAGTAGTGGGAGGAAGACTTCTGCCTAGGACATGCCTGTGTTGCTAAATAGCTTTTGATTGTGGTATATAGTTTATCATGTAATACTGCATGACTGAAATTCTTTAAATATGCAAATAAATGACGTATCTGCTACAAACGTTAGACAAAAGTTTTTTTGCTAAAGACGTCTTGCTTGTTAGATTGATGCAGTTTGGGTGTTAGGTTGATGACACTGCTAGGTTGCTACAGTAACATGGGTGTTCGGGAGCACTTGAAAATCATAACTAAGCTCTGAGCTTTCATTCATACCACTTTAAAAATGTGAGTATTGGTTTAACAGACCAGACAATTTTTAAATAATGCTTGCTTTAAAGAGCATCAAGACACTGAGAAAATTACTATTTTTGATGCACAGATATTTAAATCTTACAGAATAAAATGGCGGTATTTTCTTTCTGCTGCCGCATAGAAAATCTTACATCTTGAACCACTGGATACAAAAATGTATAGAAATGCATATCCTGTCAAGGGAGGAAAAAAATGTCCCCGGTGGGATTACTTGTGGTTTTTAATTCTCTTTATTGTTTTGCTTTTAACTGCTTGTATTTCTTTAATATTCTTCCAGCGTTAATTTGCAGGCTTTGATATCAGAGTGGCTGTGGAGGACTCATCGTTTGAAATAGTGCCATGTCCCATCCAGGTTTTGGCTTTAATGGGAAAAAAAAA